TAAATATAATGTATTTCCTGTTAGATGGAATTTCTATTTATGTTTATGTGGCCTTTAATTTTATTCACACCAAATTGGGCCACAAGGAAGAAAATGTTGAGAAACACTGATTTATGACTTCATCGGAGATTTATGATGATGCGACTACAAGAAGAATTTAAAATTCTCAACGTCTCCTCTCCTTCGGGCGCATGTGTTGTCACATCAACACAAATATCATTTTAGTCTGATGAAGTCCTAAAGGATGAAATGTGTCGCGCAAAATCTTTTTTTCCAATTTGTCATAGTTTTTTTTCATATATATATATATATATATATATATATATATATATATATATATATATATATATAGGAAATTGTAAGGCAAAATAGAAAAAGTTTATTTGTGACGCGTTTCATCCGTTAGTACTTCATCGGATGAAACGCGTCACAAATAAACTTTTTTTTCTATTTTGCCTTGCAGTTTCCCCACTATATATATATATATATATATATATATATATATATATATATATATATATATATATTGGGGAATTGTAATAACCTTTTTCTATTTGCCTTGCAATTTCCCCAATATATATATATATATATATATATATATATATATATTGCCTTGCAATTTCCCCAATATATATATATATATATATATATATATGGATAGGAGGGGAAGATAACGGTTAACTCGAACATGTTAAGATTATAGTGTTCGGAGAAACATCTTCTTGGTGCTGTCTGTTCCACAGAACAGTGGTTCGCAGGAAGAAGCTGTCTGAGGGGAACTTACTTCTTGCCGATGGAAAACGGAGGGAATGTGTGTGGTTTGCTACTATGTAAATGACATGGCGGGTCCTGGCCGTGAAGGTTAAACCTGGCAGAATCAATGAATGTAGTTCGTCTGAGCACTTTCCATGGTAGCAATGATAGAGGAGTGAGAGACTCGCCACATTCCGCCTATGAGAGAGTTGTTGGAGGGTGGAAAATAATTCTTCTCTAACAAGGACTCTGAGACGCTTTTGAACTCAATCAAGACTGAAAAGTGAGGTCTGGGCAGCTCCTGTCCAAATATGGCGACAGTATTCCATTTTAGGCCTGATCTGGCTCTTATAAAGGTAGAGGATAGCATGATGGGTCAGGCACTAACTGAAGCGATACCGGGAGCCGATCATTTTAACTGCATCTTTAGCAATGGATTGTATATAGGACTTCCACTTGAGGTCAGGTGTGAGTTTGAGGTCCAATATCCTCTCAAGGCACGAGGCCTCCTCGAAGGGAAATACGTTCATTGTGACTGGCGGTAATTCGGGATCTGATCGGTGGTGATGAAATGCAGCCAGTTTAGTTTTCGAGGCCTAGAATGTAATCAGTTACTTTTTGCCCCACTAGAAAGTTAGTGTCAGATCGGAAGAGAGGTCAGCTGCCAATCTCTGATCGTCAAGAATTTTAGAGGTGCACCCGTATATCGTCGTATCATCGGCATAAATGTTTAGCGCATTCATTTCAAGATGATCCCAGGATCGAAAATCTGCTCTTCATCTGGTGCTTGAACATCCAGAATTGGGATTTGTGTCTGGATGAGGAAGGAACAGTTAAAAATTGAAATTTTAAAATAACTGAAAAAAATTAGTGATTTTAAAAGTTTTTCATTTATATTGAGTTTAAAGTAACACAAGAACTTTTTTAATTTAATCTTTTTGTTTTAAATTCAGTTTAAAATAACTCCAATTTTTTTTAAATTGAGAAAATAATTTTATTCCTTCAAAATGCCGAGGAAAAATGAGAGGTTTCGTGACATGAGGTTTTCAAGTTCTGTAGAGTTTGTGATTTGAAGAACTAAATTTTCGCCCTAAATTGGAATTTCGGCTTGAATTGGAATTTCGGCCCAAATAGCAGTTTCGGCCCAAATCGGTCTTTTGTCCGGAATTGGACTTATAGCCCGAATCAGAGTTTAAGTGAGGTTTTGAAATTCCATGGAGTGAATTCGGGAATTCAAAATTATTTCTTCAAAATTAACATTGCTGTTTTTAAAGCTTGGCCAGTGGTACCTTTGGTTTTGAGACAGAGGCCCAATTAGCCCCTCCCCCCGCAAGATCTAGCTTAAAAGTCCGCACAGAGTTATGAATGAATCTGTAATATCACTCACAAGCTGAAGTAATGCCAATAAAACAGCTTAATGTCGTTGATTCAATAACGTCTTTCAGCGTTGATTTCAAATCTTGTTTATTATTAATAAAATGTTTATCTGATTAGTGCGTTAAACCTTCCAAAGATTTTGAAGTGTTTGGACATTTAGAAACAAAAACGAATATAATCTTTATTCACACCACAGCAAAATAGATCATTTGTTAGAGTGTTAAACTGGAGGTTTGGTGTTGTGTGAAGTTTTGGCTTATCTTATGTCAACCTATTAAATAAGCGGTTTGTATAATTGTGCAATTGCATACTCATAAATGTGATCTTGCAGTCTGCAAAGAGGTTCTACAAGCTGCATTAACCATTCGAAGTTAAGTTGTGGTTCAAGAAAGAATATTTTAAGCGCCAGAAGGCCACCATCGCCTAATCAAAATCTCTCCCACTTCACTAAGAAGTGTAGGATCAGGGTCAATCCCTGATGATCAAGGTATCCCAATGGGAAGTGCCGAAAGAGCCTGAGAATGTTGTCTCCAATCCCATATACGCGTGGTTTTCCCACTTTGAACTCAAACATGTACCATGTTCCGTTTGAGTGGGCATCCAGAAAGATACGCTGTCTTTGACTATAAAAAAATTATATTATTTAATGCGCTCTTGTTTTTATTCGATAAGCACTTGTTTTAAATCTTATAATCTCTTATTTTTTTAATAAGCTCTTCTTTATGGTCTCGAGGTTTTTTTTTATTTTATCAACACTTGTTCTATAAAACACATTAAAATTCATTAGTTTGAAGTGTTTTTAAGTGCTCATTTTTATGTTTGATCGATTTCATTTAAATTCCAAAAAAAGATTATTTCCATTATTCGGACTATTGTCCTCATCTTTGTTGCCATATTTATCACAACGTTTTGGCCGTTGTACGCTCCGGCCCTCTTCAAGCGATTGGGATGTCAAACTGAACTCTTTATTTCCCTCGGTGGGGTAGACTGTTCTAGTTCCAAGTGCCATGTCTAATGGATGTCTGTTATCAGTTATCTCCTGTTAATTCACCTCTCCAAGTTCTCCACTGACTTAACCAGGTATTGATCTCACACTCTTTTGAATCCTGTCACTGGATCTAACCAACGCCTTTATCCACTGTGCCATGTGTCCTTGAAAACATATGTGTGTGAATTAATACAGACAGATTCCAAAAACAGAACTCGTTATATGAGTGATAAGCTTCAGTTTTGGGTGTTTCCTCTAAATATTTGTTAAGATATTTTGTGTGTTTTTTTTTTATGTTCTGTTTGTTGTTCAATTTCTAATGTTCAATCTTTGCCTATTCAGCACCTCTAAAAATAAAAATTAAATTTCCCAGGTAAATATTTAGAAATATATAGAAACAATAACAGCTCAAATTAAAGGACAAAGAACACAGCAACTCTTGTAAGTATACTTTCGTCTTCTTTTGTTTTACGCCCTAAAAATGTACCGTGAGCCATCTTCTTAATCCTAACACTGGAAGTAAAAATACAAAAATTTGCTTGCCAAGAGTTGCTGCCTCCTTTGTTTTTAGTTCGATCTGTTATTATTGCGATATATTTTTTAATATTTTAATTGGGAAAATAATTTAATTTATATTTATTATTAATTTTTAAGACGCAATTTCATTTATATACTATAATATATACATTTATATTTAACATGTCATTTATATTTAATATAATATTTAACTTTATATTATTATATTATATTACAATATATTATATTAAAATATTACATATATGTTATATATATGATATATGTGTATTGTAGGATTTTATATTTTATTTAATATTATATGATTGTTATGTTATATTAGAACATTGCATATTATATATTATATAAATATTATATATTATATAAATATTATATATTATATTTGTTTAAAGTAGGATGCAGAATCCCGAAAAGCTTTGAAGAAACTTCAGAAATGGAAAAACGTTTCATTAAAACTAGTTTTGATTACGCGTTTCGCCTTTCTAGGTTTCATCAGATCCAAAAGTCCTTTCGTTTTTGGATCTGATGACGCCTAGAAACACCTTATCAAATCTAGTTTCAATGAAGCGTTTTTCCATTTGCCAAATTTCTTCAAAATGTTTATATTATTTTATTCTATTTAATATAATATTTCATGATTGAATAATGGTTAGTGGCTTGGATTGGGGAATCAGAGAGCCGAGTTAGAATTCCAGTCGGATCCGTTACATTCACTTACGTGCTAATACCTTTGGGAAAAGTATGAATCCTCTCCTTCTCTCCCCAACTATGGGTAAAATAGCAGGACAGACTGGGTGGTAGCCGGTCTAGGAGTAAGTAACTCTGAATTCTAAACGGTATGTACCCCTGGCGTAGCACATACTATACAGCTAAAGATACATTATGATATTTAATATTATATTTCATTTCTATTTAATATGCCAGCCGGTAGTCACAATAATGATTAAAATATTCACAATAATGATTAAATGTTAGTTTAAATATCAACGATTATATTATACAAACTTATAAGGTTCCTGTCTTATGAAAAATTTCAATAACTCATTTTAAACGAAGTAGGTATCTGACTTGACATTGATGGAAGCCGATGTTAAACCCAGCTACCTGAATTGTCTAGTGGCTACCATTTTTAACTAACCTGTAAGTAAATGATTACTTAGTCTGGCACAGAACCATTAACTAATCCAACAGTAAGTTACTAAACTCGAATTGAACTTCAAATACGGTATGTTTCTTCTCTCTTCTTTTTCTTTTCTTTTTTTTAAAATTACGGCAACGTTATGGTTGAGATTTTCCTTCCAATGTCGGTCGCATGCACCGAGTTGCATTGACCGCGTCTGACAAAATG